TGGAATTTTCAAATTCTCTGATTTCCCATCTGGGTATATAGAAATCGTTTTCCACATCTTTTTGAAAACAGCTGTAAAACTTATATAAAAACCTGGTTCTTGGGGTTTTTAATTTGGAATCTAAAGGTTTTAGAACTTAAACCAGACCTAAATTAACTTTACCATCCCTAACCGGACAATTACGAACTGAGGTCCAAAAATCATTCGATCCTTGGTTCGTTACCGTCCGGTCCGAGTCTTTTCGAAGATCGATCCACTCCTATTTTCTTTCTTTGCTTTATAAATGGTGATGGCAAATCATCATCGTCCACATCCCATACATTGGATCCTTGCGAACTCTGCTGTAATCGTTTTTGAGGAATTATACTTGATATCGATGTAATATTCCTAGGTCGTACTTCTAATGGAGGATATATTAGTTTTCTTAGCCTGGTCTTCGGTAATTCCTGCTGCAAGACAGGTGCTTTCACAACCATCCCACAATTTGAACTTGATGCAAAATTTTCCCGATCTTCAGATGGATTGTGAAGTGAAGTGACTTCATTATTTGTAATCGTCTCAACTTGTGCAATAACTTGAATCGTATCATTAATTTTATCACATTTGTTTTCGCTTATCAAAGGCTGCTCTTTAATACACGATACTTGTGTCTTAAGAGAAGCTATTGTTCGCTGTTCAGGCAATGGTGTATCTCGCGTCTTATTAAATTCATCAATCTGACGCTGAAGGTCATCATGGCGGCGTTTTAACTCTGATTCTTGATTTTTAAGGATTTGCGCCTGCAAGTCTTTCTGTCGCTTAAGCTCTAAAAAACCGCTATTTAATTCCTCTTTTTGCTGCAAAAGGTTTGCATATTCAGCTTTGAACTCCTCCTTTTGTCGCTGAACTTCCATATTAAATTGTTCTGTATGAAGTTTAGCCTCATTGGCAAATTGTTGCCTTTCAAAATCCAATTGCTGTTTGCATTGTTGGAGTTCTGCAAACCTTCGCCTTAATTCCTCCTCTTTATTTGTTACCATTATTTCACGTCCGTTTAAAGCTATCTCTCGTTGTTTAAGCTCCTCTTCTCGGCGTGTTATATCCCTACTAGGATGCATCATCTTTAGTAATTCCATAGTTGTAGGCCTTTTGTTCGGATCAACCATTAACATTGTTCTAATTATATTATTAAGTTCTTCTGAGTACCGTGATGGTAGAGGCGGAACCATACCAGCACTGATTTTTATTGCCAAACTAGGTTGTGATTTTGCTTGAAACGGTGGTTGTAAAGCACAAAGCTCATACAGCAAACATCCAAGGGACCAAATATCAGATTTAGCATCATAATGTGATTCAGTTATCAGTTCAGGCGACATATAATAAGGTGTCTAGAAAATTTTATATATCTGACCAGCGATTAGTTCATATAATTAATTCTTTTAACATAGAAGAATTCGTAAATACTTACACCAACATACGTCTGCGCCAACTCTCGGTCTAAATTCAACTTTCTCGACAGACCAAAATCGCCCAATTTAAGCTTATTATCACTACCCAATAATACTGCGTAATCACCAAGACCACGAAAAATGAATTCATAAATCATTGATATAAAAATAAAAAGAATTTAGATAAAAACACACCATTTTCTGGCTTTATGTCACGATGTAATATCGTAATGTGTTGTTGGCTATGATCAGAATCACATTTACTATTACCATAGCCATAATGACACTCATGAAGTGCCTGCAATATCTGAGTAAAGAAGAACCAGATGGTACTTTCAGATAAATAATTCCTGAAAAATAATGGAATAATTAAATATA